GGTGGGGGCGGGGATGCCAAGACGCTTTACCTATACCTTAAATAACACAACTTGTTTCAAGTGGGAAACTTGGAAAGTCTCCTGCCACACCCGCAATGCACACCGTTTCTTGGTCAGGTGGTTTGCCAGGGATGGAATCCAGGACTCACGCATACCAGGCAAGTGCTCTATCACTGAAATCCATTTTTTAATGGGAAATTTCCCAATAAAAAAGTATAATTCACTTAACTTTAAACTAACAAAAGACATCTGCAGGCTGACAGTGCTGCACACACAATTCTGCTGCTCAGACTGGGGGTAGGACCCATCTGGGTCACAGTCAGGCCGATATCTACAGCAGGTAATATTTGCTAAGCTTCCCCACACTTACCTTCTCAGACCACCCTCTGGTACCCTCACAAGGAAGTCATGAGCCCTTTATACAGATGGGACACTTGGGTCAACTAGGGTGGGGAGCAGATCTGGGATTCAGAGCTTAGAACAGCTGATTACAAACCCAGGGCTCAGGCTGAGCCCCATGGGAGTTGCCACATCTGCCTGTTTCTCCTCCCTCCTCTGAGACAGATGTGTGCTGGCTCTGACTCTTCACAGCAGACCACAGATGGAGCCTCTGTCTGAGGGTGTGCCTAGCAATCATTCACGCCTTTTCCGCAATCACAGCTCCCAGGGAAAGGGTGTTGTGATAAGGAGAGGGAGGAAAGTGGTGTTTGGGATTCTGGGGTCTGAGCTAGACCAGCCTTGTTGTGATGTGTCCGCCTGACAGCCAGAGGCCTGATACAGCCTGAGGTTCTGCCAGTACCATGCACACCACGCTGCTGGGTGTGCCTTTCCATGTGTGCCTCGCTGGCTAGCATACTGCTGGCATTGACTGACCCGACTTGGCCTCACTCTTGGGGAGCCAGCTTGTGCCAGATGCACAGGAAAGAATCCTGACAGCGTCATCGGATTCCCATCAAGGCCGAGGCAGGCTTGGCTGTGTGTCTCCCCTTGACATGGGGGCTGCTAATGGAGCAGGTGCTAGATGGGGTGGCAGATACCACCACTGCTCTCTGGGCTTCTCTGAGCTGTGTCCCCCTTCCTGGTGGAAGGGGATCGGGCCACCTGGAGCTTGTACACACCTGCAATTCTTAGGCAACTTTTTGGAAACCACATGTGGTAAGACCCAGTGGTTAGGAACTCAGAGCCAGACAGCTGGGGTTGAGCACTTATTAGTTATGTGGCCTGAGTAAATTAAATCCATGCCAGCACTCCTCTACAAGCTAACAGGATCGCAGTGCCTACCTTGTGGGGTTGGAATGAGGGTTAAATGAGGTCATAGACACACAGAGTGCTTAGAACAACTCTGGGTGCAGAAGAAGTGCTTGGTGAGGTTGGCTGTTATCATTATCTCAAGCTTAGGGCCCAGGGATGTGCTTCCACTCAAGTCAGGATGGTTTAGCACCGCCTCTCATCACCATGACAACACTCATCTCATCATGGGAGGGAGCAGCAGAGGAGAGCAAGGAACCAGAAGCCCTCTGTGCAAGCGTACCTGCCCTGCATCATGAGGCCATCTACCCTAAGGCTTATGGCACCCCTAAGTGTGCCAAAACAGAGCACCCAAAGTTCTTGACTCCAAAGCCACAGATTAGGAGAACCCCAAGATTCCTAAAAATGCCGAGGGACTCAGATTTATCCTCTAACTGGACTCTGGTCCCAAAGACAGCCTACATAAAGCTTAGCAAGGGTTGGAAACCTGTGAGCCATGGCCCCAGATCTTTACATACCTGAATGGCATGGACCTTTTTGTGAATATTTGCATTTAAAAATCAGGAGGCCAAGCGTGGTGATGCACACCTGTGGTCCCAGGCACTCAAGAGGCTGAGTTAGAATGATCACTTGAGTCCAGGAGTTGAAGGCCAGCCTAAGCAACATAGTGAAACTCTGGTCTTAAAAATGAATGAATTAGGTCAGGCGGCAGTGGCTCATATCTGTAATCCCAGCTACTCAGGAGGTAGAGATCAGGGAGGATTGCAGTTCAAAGCCAGCCCTGGGCAAATAGTTTGAGAGACCCCCATCTTGAAAAAAGCCTTCATAAAAAGGGCTGGTGGAGTGGCCCAAGGTGTAGGTCCTGAGTAAAACCCCATACTGAAAAAAAAATTGTTTTAAAAAAAAATCAGAAAACTACACATAAACAACAACAAAAACCTAGTATTTGGCTTTTCTTTAAAGAGTTGGAAGATCCAGTATGCCAGGCTGGCATTCCCCACCCTCCCTTGCCTGCAGGCTCACAGAGGTGTCAGCACCTCTGATCTGCAAGGAAACCAGAGGTGGCAGGGGGATGGAGGAGGGTAATCCTGGCCTCTGTGCCAGGAGACTGTCCCAGTCTCCTTTTTCCAGAACTCTCCCCACATAACCACTTAGAACACATTCCTGAGCCAGAGTTACTTCTTAGCAACAATAATAAAACAGTGAGCAGCCCTGGGCTCAGGTAATGGCTTGAATGAGCTCCCAGACCTCTCTAGAATAGTTTAGGCCTCAGTGATTCATAAAACCTGGGAGTAGAGGGTACGGCAGGGAAGAAACCCTCCCGAGCAAGGAAAGGCCTAAGAACAGAATATTGCAGAAATGTGTGCAGCGTTTTCTTTCTGATTTAAACGGGAGCACCAGAGGTGAGGCTCCTGAACTAGGAGCGGCCCTCCTGAGCAGCCAGGACTTGCTGCCCGGCAGCCTGCTGGTGTTCAGGTGGAGATGAGGTCTGGTTGCCAGGTCTAGCAAACAAATATAGGATGCTCAGGAACACTGAAGTTTCAGATAGAGCATGGATATGTTTTGAACATAAGTATGTGCCATTCTTATTTGGGACACACACTAAAAGTTAATCTGAAATTCCAGGGCCACTTGCCATCCTGTGCTTTTTCTGGCAGCTCTGAAGTGAGTTCTGAAAGTGCTTAAAAAGAGGTATGGCTGGACGCCTGTAATCCTAGCTACTTGGGAGGCTGAGATTGGGAGGATGGCAGTTGTAGGCCAGCCCAGGCAAATACTTGAGACTCCATCTTCAAAATAACTGCAGCAAGATGGACTAGAGGTATGGCTCAAGCTATAGGGTACTTGCTTTGAAAGTGTGAAGCCCTGAGTTCAAACTCCAGTACCACTTCAAAAAAAAAAAAAAAAGAGGTATAAACATTTTTCTCTTTTCTTTTTTGAGACTGTCCCACTATGTAGGTAGCCCAGGATGGCATCAAACTCCCTATGTAACACAAGCTGGTCTCAAACTTAAGATCCTCCTGCTTCAGCCCCTGACACTGGGATGTGCCACCATGCTGGGCTTTAAGTGCCATTTTAAAAAAATATCACTAAAAAATAAAATTAAAAGCCCATCTTTGAAGCAGGGTATGGTAGCACACAGCTGTAATCCCAGCCCTTGGAGGCTGAGGCAGGAAGATCTTGAGTTTGAGGCCAACCTGTGCTATATAAGGAGTTTAAGGACAGCCTGGGCTACTAGTGACACCCTATCTCAAAAACAATAATAATAAAAATTTAAAATACCTCCTTTTGGCAGAGGTCCTCTCACAGCCGAGTGTGAACTTGTGTGACAAGCATACTGGTGCCATGGAGGCAGAACATAAGGTCAGGGCTGGTGGCCCTCTGAGCCCTTACCACTGACTGTCTTCTCCCTTCTAGTCCCAGCCGCTGCAGGGGGCATCATGGCCGTGGATGTGGCAGAATATCACCTGAGCGGTGAGTCCCCCTGGCAAGCTCCTCCAATGATCAAACCTGGGGCCACCTCACGGGATCCTCCACCAGGCCTGGGGTGGGAGGTGTCAATGGGACATTAAAAAAAAAAACCCTGCTTTACTACTGGTAGGAACAGTCACTGACTTGCCCAAGGTCAACAGCCTTGGGGACACCACGCTGGAATGCGTCTGAGGTCTCATCTTTCCATTCCAGGCAGGGCCTCCAGGCAGAGAAGCAACTCCCTCTGTGTGACTTGAGGGATCCCCAAGAGACCCTTGACCCATTGATGAGCCTGTGGCATGGAATCCACTCACCTGGGGCCTGTCCTGGAGGCTGTCATGCAGCCAAGTGAAAGGGAACCCTGGAAGGTCAATGTTAGATCCATGGAACATGTGACTCAGATGACCCAGCATGGTGACTGGGATGCAGGCTTTATCCTTCACCTATGCCTCTGTGGCATGCAGCCAGAAGTTGGCATCAAGACCAGGCAGCCTCTTGTTGGCCCTGCCTCATTCATAGAAGTGAGCCTCATCGAGGGAAGGGACGATGACAAAATAACATGATCAAGACATGATCTCAGGTCTTCCAATCCCAGACCAGAGCTCAGAGCCCTCGAGCATACCAGCTCCTACCCTAATGCTGACCCCACTGGCCCAGGGCTGAGCTATAGGATGTACCAGGAACCACTTTAGCCAACCCCCAGCCAGTGGGCCTCGCTTTCCATCTGCAGACCCCCAGGTCTTGGGGCAAGTGATGAAACCTGAGCCTGCTCTGCATGGCCTTCGGTTCTAGGTAGAGGTTACCAGCCAGTGCAGGGCTGAAACCAGACTATCTGACAGCAAACCTCTCCTTTGTCCCTCAGCTTCCTCATCTCAAATGGGGACAATAATAGAACCTACCTCACAGGATTGTTCCTAGGACTCAAAGGGTCAGGACATGTGAAGAGCTTAACCAAGGTCTGGCAGGTAGTAAGTAGTAAGTGTGTTGTAAGAGGAGCTATTATTATTATTGTTCCTCCTTGTCCTCGCCCTGTCCCCATCTCTTCATTTCTGGCCTTAGCTTAGGCCTCATTTCCTTTGGGAATTCTTCCCATATTGCCCCAGGCTGGCACTCCATAAAGTCAATCAATAAATGATTATTCATTGTTTCACACCACCTTCTTGGGCTTTTCCTGTCTTGCCCCTGGCCCTGCTTCCCTAGTCTGCTGGCTCTGTTGCCCCCTCCCCATGCCCACCGCCTGCCCAGAAGAACCTTGGGCCTCTCTTCCTGCGCTCTGGCCAGCCCCCTGCTGCTGCCCAGCCTGCTGTGGCAGCATGCGTGTCACTCTCCAGGTGGCCACCTGCTTTCCCATCCATCCAGTGTTCATAGACTCCAAGCACATTCCAGAACCTTGTCATGGCTGGGCCTGGGACCCTCCCTAGATCTCTTGGTTGTGGTTTTCCTTAGCTCACAAATGACAGTCCCTCAGCAGAAGTGAGGAGTAGCTAGGCTGGCTCACAGTCCCCTCAACCTTATTACCCAATCCTTCCATTTTTTTCCCTGGTTGGACCGGCTCTTGTCCCTATCCTTGTATGATTTTTACATCAAAACCATGTGGTTATGTCATGTTGGAAGTTCTTTTTTTTCTCTTAACAATGCTGGAAAGGTTTCCTGCATTGCCACAGACCCAGCCTAATGACTTCAGTTGTCATTCTCAAAGGCCAGTGACACTCCCTCCTGTGACAGCATCCCTGGCCCCCACTCACTGGGCCCCTTGGTGGGACCTTCAGGCTGTTTTCAGATCTCTGCTGTTATAAATAAGCCTCAGTGACTCACAGGAGACATAAAACTTGTTGGGATTTTTTTTTTTTTCCCCTTAGAATACATTTGCTGGGTGGGACAGGGGGATGGGAAATGTTTTCGCCATCCCATCCATTTTCCAGAAGAGGAGATGGAAGCCCAGAGAGGCTGGTGATGTGCCTGGGAGCCAGGGTACCTGTCTCACCTGTGTGGCCTTGAGTTTAGGAACAGATGTGCCTGGTGGCCTCTGCCAGCCTGAGTTTTCCTCTTCTGGAAGTGGAAGATGCTCTGTGCTGAAAGAAATGTCAGACTGAAGGCTGGGCTCTGTCCGCCTGCACTGGGAGCGTGTGGGTTCTGGCCACGGGTCCTGCACAAAGACCGCCATGCCATGTGATTCCTACCCCTGCGGCCTGCAGGGCCCATCCAGTCCCTAGTGCCCCGCTCTGTGCCTCCCACTAGGGATTGTGCTCAGAGCCTTTCCTACCTCTTCCATTCTGCCCACTTCAACTGCCAGCTCTTGTTGCCATGGCTGGCACACTTCTTATTCCTCCTCACATCTCAGTTTATGCATTCCTCCTTCAGGAAGCCTTCCTGGGTTACTTCCCGCATGACTCCTAGCACCTTGTTCTATTTATTTGCCTACCTTACCCCACCCTCAAGATTATGAGTACATAAGGACAGTGACTGGGCCTGGGCCCGACTCACCCAGCCCTGGTTGCCCATGCCCACAAGGTGCTGGCATACAGTAGGTGCTCAATGAATGTTCAATGATTAGTCTCCATCCTGAAAGCCCCCCTCTCCTCCTTACTGCTAGGGAGTGGAGCCATGTTGAGGCCAGGTCCGGGTTACTCCTGCTCACTCTGGAGTCTGGTTGCCAGAATAAGAATCCCAGCACCAGCCCTTCCCTGTCCTGTGACCTTGGGCAAGTTCTTTAGCCTTTCCATGACTCAGTTTCCCCACTTGAGTTTAAAGGCAGTACTGGAAATGGTTTAAAGAATTGTCTTTGGCAGCAGTTTGACCTGCCAAACAAATCCCAGTGTCTCATTGGCTTCCTGTGCAGCAGGACCAGGTTTCAAGCAGAGACCTACCAGACCTCTCTGTACATGTGGACCTGCCTCAGGCCGTGCACTCTGCTCAGTGAGGACTCACCAGACACGGTTGAGGGAGCAGATTGCTCTGACTAGGGGACAATGAGGCACAGACAGGGAAAGCTGTGCCCTCGTCACTAGAGAAAAGGCACCTAAGCATTGTCCCAGGCCCTGCCCAGCCTGCCACCACCTTCTACTTCAGCTGAGTTGATTTGCAAGTTTGGGGTAAGAGAGGAAAAATTCAGGCTGGTGGAGTGGCTCAAATGGTAAGAGTGTCTGCATAGCAAGTGTGAGGCCCTGAGTTCAAACCCCAGTGCCATCAAAAAAGAAAAAAATATATATGTTTGGAAAATTAGTACCTACTGTACTGTTCACCACTTGAAGTACATAATACATTGTTTTCAGTGTATTGTGCAATCAGTGGCACAATGAATTTTTAGAATATTTTCATCATCCCAAAAAAGAAACGCTTTGCCCTCAACCATCCCTGCTTGCTGATTCTAGAACATTCCTTCCAGGCCCCCCATGGATGCCAAAATCCCTTCTATGAAGCAGTGTAGTATTTGTATATGGCCTGTGTACTTGAAGCCCTCTCTGGATGACTTGTAATACTTAATGTATTGTAAATCCATTTAAATAGTTGTCCTGTTTTGTTTAGAGAATAATGACAAGAAAAAAGAAGTCTGTACAGATTCAGTACAGACACAACCATCACAGGCCTAATTACATAGTAGACAAGCCAGGATTGGTTGAATCCACAAACACAGAACCCACAGGCACAGAGGGCTGACTGTAAATAGAATTACACAGTAGACTGGCCTTGCTCACTCAGAATGATGTTCTCAAGGTTCATCCGGGTTATGATGGATTCCTTCTTGTTGCTAAATAACCTTCCATGGTCTGAACAGATGTGCTGGATTTTTTTTAGCCATTCTTCAGTTGATGGACGTTGGGTTGTTCTGAGGCACACATAGGCTAAAGGCCCAAATAGGATCGTTTTCTTTTTCTACAAAGCTCCTTCCTCTTCTCCCAGATTCTGACAGACTGCTTTGATGATCTGAAGCAGGAAGTCCCCAGAAGGATGTGAGGTCAAAAACCCACAAAGGCAAAAACATCCCTTTTTGTTTGAATCCTAAGAAATAGCCAACCATTTTTGTTCACGGCTCTTCATCTTCTCTGGCCAAGTGTCTTCCTCCGATAAAAAAATGTATGTTTTCACAGAAGAAGAGGTAGAAACAGAAATCTCAAGAAACTGTGTCTTGCCAGGCGCTGATGGCTCAAGCCTATAATCCTAGCTACTTGGGAGGCTGAGATCAGGAGGATCACAGGTCTAGGCCAGCTGCGGCAAAAAGTCCAAGAGACCTTGTCTCAAAAAAAAAAAACCAAAACTGGGCATGGTGGTGCATGCCTGTCGTCCCAGCTACTGAGAGAAGCATAAAATTCTTATAGTCCAGGATTATGGGTCCAGGCCAGCCTAGGCAAAAAACAAGAGCTCATCTCCAAAATAACCAGATCAAAGAGGGCTGGAGGGATGACTCAAGCCTTAGAGTGCCTGCCTGGAAATCATAAAGCCCTGAGTTCAAACTCCAATACCATTACAAATAGTTTTCTCAAGATAATTGTACTTTTGTTTACAGGTTAAGAGAAAAATCTGTTCCCCTAAACTGTCACACTATTCATAATTTTAAAACATATTATTAAATAAGGTACAAGTTTTCTTAAAATACAAAACAAAAAACAGTACTGCCAAAAGAAAAGGGGAAAAAAAGGGTGTGTCTCATTGCACACTGGATCCCCAGCACCCGGCACTCAGGCTTGCACATAATGGGTACTCAATAGAAATCTGTTCAGGAGCCAGGCACTGGTGGCTCACGCCTGTAATCCTAGCTACTCAGGAGGCAGAGATCAGGAGGATCATGATTCGAAGCCAGCCCAGGCAAACAGTTTGCAACACCCTATCTCAAAAAACCCCATCACAAAAATGGGCTGGTGGAGTGGCTCAAGGTGTAGGCCCTGAGTTCAAACCCTAGTGCCACAAAAAAAAAAAAATCTGCTTCCTGGTGGGGGACATCTGGTGGAGGGTCTGGGACCACCATAACCCACTAATGAGAGGTTGCCCTTGCCTTGCAGTCATCAAGAGCCCCCCGGGCTGGGAGGTGGGTGTCTATGCAGCAGGGGCCTTGGCACTGCTCGGAATTGCAGCTGTGAGTCTGTGGAAGCTATGGACATCGGGGAGCTTCCCCAGCCCCTCCCCATTCCCAAATTATGACTACAGGTACCTGCAGCAGAAGTACGGCGAGTCCTACACGGAGGACAGGCCAAAGGTGAGAGGGACTCTTGCCCCTGCGTGTACACACCAGAGCACACCTCCCCACCCCCAGCACTGCCATCCATTCTCAAGACCAGCTTCTAGTAGTACCCTCCCATCCCTTTTCTGGCTACTGTCTTCCTGCACATCCAGACCTCCCTTGGTCCCCTGCACATCCTCAACTCCCAGCCCAGTGTTAGGGAGTCAATGAATGAATGAATACTTTCAGTTTTTAAAAGTACTGTGTGATGCTGGGCGCCACTGGCTCACGCCTGTAATCCTGGCTACTCAGAAGGCAGGGATCAGGAGGATTGAGGTTCAAAGCCAGGCCCAGGCAAATAGTTCTTGAAACCCTATCTCAAAAATACCCAACACAAAAAAGAGCTGGTAGAGTGGCTCAAGTGGTACAGTGCCTGCCTAGCAAACGCGTGAAGCCCTGAGTTCAAACCCCAGTATCACCAAAAAAAAAAAAAAAGTATTGTGTGAAAAATACCAATAAAAAGAAAAACATTACCCCAAATGCTACCACCCAGCTGTTAACTATTATTAAGCTAACAATTTTATACATTTCTTCCCAATTTGTTTCATGTTTACAGTGCTGGTGACTGAACCCAGGGCCTCATACTTGCTAGGCAGTCGCTCTACCACTTCAGCCACGCTCCCAGCCCTCTTGTTTTTATTTTGGTTTTCAGATAGGGTCTCTATACCTTTGCCCAGGCTGGCTTTGAACTCTTGATCCTCTTGCCTCCCCCTCCCAAATAGCTGGGATTATAGTCGTATATCGCCATGCCTGGTTTCTTGCCAATATTTTTAATTGACTCTCTCCCCCCACAGTCTTTTTCCATGCATAGTTTTTATACAATGGGGATGATGTCTATATAGGATTTTATACCCTGCTCTTTTCATCTCATTTATAGCTGAAGTATTTTCCTCTACAGTTGAACAGCGTCATAAACGTCATTTTAATGGCTGCATTAGAGTCTGTTGTGTGAATGCACCATGATTTACTAAATTCCATTATAAATAGTGCAGTGGGTGTTTTGTATGTAAAACTTTAGGAGGATTTGGTACCAAATTTAGATAGATGCCCAGATGCAGAATTACTGAGTCAGAGGAACAAACTTTTTTTTTTGCCAGTGCTGGGATTTGAACTCAGGGCGTCACACTTGGGGTATAAACATTTTTAAGGCTTTCAGTATATTTTGCTGAATGTTTCATCATTTAATACTTGGTAGAGAATTTTCAATGTCATCTGAAGCACAGAGGAGAGTACCTCATGCACTCTCATTTTGGATGCCCCGGGTACCACTTCACACTCTTGTTGAAGAGAGTCAAAATTGACATAACTTTTCCAAACAGTGTTTTGACAACACATGTCAAAAGCCACCAAAAGGACTGTCTTCTGGGCCAAGATTTTCAGAAAACAATTTGATGCCTCATTATATGTCTTGTGAGAAAATAGAAGCAATGTAACTGTCCAAGAGGAGAATAATAAAATAATTATGATCACTTGCTCAACAGAAAATTGGGAAGCTGCGAGGGGTGTGGCTTAACCAGGTGGTAGAGCGCCTGGTTAGCAAGGCCTCATTTCAAAGCCTAGTACCACCAAAAGGAAATTAAGGAGTTGTTAGACATTGTAGGAATGTAGACATGGGAGATGCTTGTGCTATGAAGGCTTTTACTTTCTCAAGGCCTCAGATTAATTTAAAGCCAATAAAATTTCAAAACTGAGGGCATGGCTCAAGTGGTAGAGTGCCTGCCTTACAAGCAGGAGGTTCTCAGTTCACAGAAACTAAATAAAGAAACAAAATAAAATTTCAAACATTTGGAGGAGTGTCACCCAACATGAAGACTTTCTTGTGTTGGTGAGTGTTTTTAAATCTTCTTTTGAGGCTGCTCCATCATCTATTTTTTTTTTTCCTGTGGTACTGGGGTTTGAACTCAGAGCCTACACCTTGAGACACTCCACCAGCCCTTTATGTAAAGGGCTTTTTCAAGATAGGGTCTCCTGGAACTATTTGCCCAGGCTGGCTTCGAACCACGATCCTCCTGATCTCTGCCTCCTGAGTAAGCAAGGATTACAGAGTGAGCCACCAGCGCTCATCTGCTTTTCCTTTTGTTAACATCACTGCGTTTGACATCTTTATATATGGAATTCTGTCTCCATAAGTAAGCATGTTGAGAAAAAGCTTTCTTACATTCTGGTTTAGGGAAGAAAACTAAGTGACACGAAATAACATTCACCAAGGATCTCTTAGCTAAGGGATGCACTGGTTTTGTGAAAGCAGGATTTGGAGGTCCCTTAAATGAATGGGGCTTACCACATCTCCTTGCTGTCACCTAAGGTTGTGCCTGTGACCCTTGTGATGCTCCCCTGTCCCTTATGCTCTCCTGCAGAGAGTGCCTCCCTGGAATGCCCAGCGGGTCAGCGCTCAGGGACCATCCAGCCGCAAAGGCAGCCTCAGCATCGAGGATACCTTTGAGAGCATCAGTGAGCTGGGTCCCCTGGAGCTGATGGGCCGGGAGCTGGACCTGGCCCCCTATGGGACCCTCCGCAAGTCCCAGTCAGCTGACTCCCTGAACTCAGTCTCCTCCGTGAGCAACACTTTTGGGCAGGACTTCACACTGGGCCAGGTGGAAGTGAGCATGGACTATGACACCAGCTCCCACACCCTCCACGTGGCCGTGCTGCAGGGCAAGGACCTCCTGGAGCGGGAGGAGGCCAGCTTCGAGTCCTGCTTCATGCGCATCAGCCTGCTGCCGGATGAACAAATCATGGGCATTTCCCGGGTAAGTGGGGCTGGGGGAGGGCAGAGGGGTGCTCTGGGCTACCTAGAGCCCTTCTAGGAGGGCCACTCTCCTCCAGGATCCCAGGAGGGTGCTAGAGAGATCCAGAACTGAAGATGCTGTCCTGTGCACAGAACCGGCTCTCTGAGGCCTCTAACCGAGGGCACCCACTGTGCACAGTCCTCAGCAGGCTGGCAAGGGTCCAGACCTGAGCCTCTAAGATGAGTCAGGTCAACACACAGTGACCTCTGACCAGAGTGGGAGGAGCCTGAGGTCCTGTGGGACCAGGTGCCTTCTGACTCCTCCAAGAGCCGGTCACTTTTGTCACACTGAACATTGGTTGACTAGGCCTCAGCAGTAGACACTGTCACCCCTCTCCCACTCCAATCTGTCCCCATTATCCTGGGACAGTCCTGTGTACATGAGGCACTGGGGGAGGGTGACCACCAGCCCTGTGTACATGAGGCACTGGGGGAGGGTGACCCAACTTCCTGCTGGCAGTCCAGTGGGTAGTTAGGAGTCTGATTGGAGCCTGACTGCCTGAGTTCAAATCCCAGTCCCACCACATCTTAGCAGTGTGATCTTGGGTAAGTCACTTAAGCAGTCAGTGATTCATTTTCTCCTCCTCTCAAATGAACATCATAATTACTGAGAAAGGGATAGGTTGATACATGTAAAGTCCTTAGCTTGATCCTTGATAGGTGCTCAGCACTGGTGCCTGATCCATGCTGCTCCTGGCCTGGGCTGCCTGGAGGACCCTGGGTAATTTAGGACATGCCCCTTGAGGAGGGTCATTGCAGGCAGCAATACCACAGCTTGACCTACACTGAGAATCTGCTACAAAGAGCCTAACACGTCCATGATTCTCTCATTCTCCCCCAAAGGCCAACAGGATGGACAGTGAGGGCATCTTGCAGATGATGGTGGGAGCTGGAGCCCCTAAGGGCAAGGGACAGCTAAGAGATAAGTATGGCCAAGAGAAGGAGAGATGGGGCCAGAGATCACATAGAGCCTTAATGCCAAGGTCAGGAGGCCAGAAGGTAGACTTTGCCCCATGGGTCAAGGAGGCCCAGATAAATCTCAAAACTGGATTGTGTGGGCAATATGGCTCTGGGGTCACTGCAGGAAGAGAACCAGGCAGTGACTAAAGACTAAGGTCATGGTGGCCGGAGGCGCTGGAGGATTTTCCTGGAATGGCAGGCTTTGTAGGATCGTAACCCAGCCAGTCCCATCGAGCAGGTGGCTGCCTCCAGGCTGAGTGGCCCCCAAGCTTGAGAGAAGGTGCCAGGAATGAGCACTCCTCTCTAAATATCGCTATGCAGTGACTCAGGCAGCCCCCACGGAAGGGGGAGCAGTGCCATGAGTGCACCTCCCCAGGGGCTGCCCACGGCTTCCTGGGTGGAAGCCAACAGTACCCACTGGGCAGGGCTGAGCTTGGAAACGGAGCTTGCCACACTCCACCCATCTGTCTGTCTGTCCACCCATCCATCCATCCATCCATCCTACAGCAGTCAGCCTGCCTCTGCTAGAGGCTGGGATATCAGTGGCTACTGATTCCAAAAACAACTACCCTGCCCACCTGGCCCAGCGCATGGCTGGAAATGGAGTTTACAGCATCAAGAGGGTTTTATGGCGCCATGGACCCTGAGGACAGGTATGCATTGGTGTTACGTGGTGGAAACGCTGAAGACCAAGCCACTAGATTGGCCACCACTGAGGAAAGGACATTAGGACTTTTAAATCTTCAAGGTTGAGCCACCAAAAGAAGGGTCAGCATTAAGACTGTGAGGACAAAAGAGCTAGGATCTGACCCAGGTCCCTGAAATCCCCTCCTAACCCTTTCCTTACTGCAGCCTCTCTGGCCCTGGGCTGCTTCCTTTTCCTCAGCTTTGGGGCTCCCTCCTCGGTCCCTTTTCTCTGCAGATCCAGCGGAACGCCTACTCCATCTTCTTCGATGAGAAGTTCTCCATCCCCTTGGATCCTACAGCCCTGGAGGAGAAGAGCCTGCGGTTCTCCGTGTTCGGCATCAATGAGGATGAGCAGAATGTCAGCACGGGGGTGGTGGAGCTGAAGCTGTCTGTGCTTGACCTCACACTGCAGCCCTTCAGTGGCTGGCTCTACTTACAGGACCAGAACAAGGTAAGCCTCACCTGGGTTGGCTTGCCACAAACGCACACACTCACGCTTCCTAGGAAGGACCCCACCATCCTCTGCCACAGCCCGAAGTCTGACATCATTAGATGAGCAGAGAAGGGGGACCAAGCCACACTGCAGCAATAGCAAAAACCCCTGCCTCTGTTTACAGCTGTCCTGCACCCTTAGCACCAACCCTTCAGAGGCTCCATTCCTACAAGCCTCTTTTAGGGATGCACAGCTCTGGCCCTAAAATGTCAAGCAGAAGCTTACTTTTAAGTTTAAGAATGCCAGGGGCCAGGTGCCAGTGGCTCATGCCTGTAATCCTAGCTTCTCAGGAGGTAAAAATCAGGAGGATCGAAGTTCAAAGCCAGCCCAGGTAAATAGTTCATAAGACCTTATCTCGAAAAAACAAAAAATCACAAAAAGGGACTGGTGGAGTGGCTCAAGGTGTAGGGATTGAGTTCAAACCCCAGCGCGCACACACACACACACACACACACACACACACACACACACACACACACGCCAGGGAACGTTATTGCTGTTTTTAAAGCAAATGCTGTAACTACTCAGACCTCTCTGCACTACTCTGGGGCAGAAGCCCTCTGAGCCACACCTGTCCCCCCAGGCCGCCGACACAGTAGGGGAGATCCTGTTGTCCCTCAGCTACCTGCCTACGGCTGAGCGTCTCACCGTGGTTGTGGTGAAGGCCAAGAATCTCATCTGGACCAACGACAAGACCACAGCGGGTAAGGCCTGCCCCAGTTCCTCCACGTGGCTCAGAGGAAGTAGTGGCCCAAGCCACTGTGCTGCGGGCACCTGGAGGCATTAGCAGGTGTGGGGCACAGAGCCAGGGCCAGGGCCCTGCAGCTTTGGCCAAGCTCAGGAGTTGGTCAGGATGGAAAGGTTAATCCAACTGGGGAAACATGGAAACCCTGGAGGGTGACAGGGAGCCTGGGAGGACAGCGTGGTGGGGGAGGGGCAGAGCAACTGGTCAGAGAGATGGAGGCCAAGTGACAGGGGAGAATGATAGGATCTTAGAGCAGGTTGCAGCAGTGGGCACTGGGCAAGGAACCAAGGTCAGCACCTGCTTCTTGTAACTGGAGCTGGGAACTGGGGGCATTGCTCAAGTAGTAGAGTGCCTGCCTAGCAAGCACAAAGACCTGAGTCCAAACCCAGGTGCCACCAAAAAACAAAGAAACAAAAACAACAACTAGAGTTCTTGATGGAAGCCCTGTCCCCAGAGAAGACAGCAACTCAGACTTCAAATGGGGACCAGAGCTACCAGTTTGGGGTAGGTGCCAGGCAGGACCTGATGCCCCAGCTCAGCAGGCACCTCCAGCCCCTCACAATGCAGGGACCCATGGAAACAGCTGTAATGGTAGCCACAAATAAAGGACTGGAAGAACCCTAGCCTTGGGGGGCTTTGGACCAGACAGGCATAGCAAAAGTGCCCAGCAAACAGACAATAGCTGACAGCCAGATGGCAACTTGGTATTTCAGAGCTGCACACAGCTCATTAGTCAGGCTCTGCTGCACCAGCACCCAGTGACTCAGGGTTGACATTTGAGCTCAGGCCACTAATAGAACGGGAAGTGGTAGGTCTGTCCAGTCACCTGGAGCATTTTGTGAGGGGAACATTATTGTTGTTATTGTGGTCGGGCCTCAGGCTGCCTGAGTCTAGAGCCCAGCCCTCTCCTGACTTGCCATGTGAACTTCAGTTTTCTCATCTGTAAAATGGGATTTAAAATTATACAGAGCTGGGTATGGTGGTACATTTCTATGGCCTACCTACTCCAGGGAGGCAGGAGGATCCCTTGAGCCCAGGACCAGCCTAGGCAACATAGCAAGGCCCCGTCTCCAAATAAGCAAATAAATAAATGAAATAATAAAGACTCAGTAGCAGGCTGTTGGGGACTTGGAGCCAGGGGAAAGGGCTGTGCCAAACGCAACTGGCTCTGGCCCTCACACCACCCCACCTGCCCACAGATCCCTTTGTCAAGGTGTACCTGCTGCAGGATGGGAGGAAGATGAGCAAAAAGAAGACAGCTGTGAAGAAGGATGACCCCAACCCAGTGTTCAACGAAGCCATGATCTTCTCGGTGCCGGCCATTGTGCTTCAGGTGAGGGGGAGGCTGGGTCACTCCCCGGGCTCTGGGGCCACTGCAACCCTCTGGCTCTGCTCTCGGGTCTCCTGCAAGTGGTAATGATTCGCCTCAAGCCATCACCCATCTAGCCAAGCATTTATTGAGCCACCCACGGGGTGCTAAGACTGGCACTGCTTTCTTGGTGCATATAAAGGACAGGCAGAGCTGGGCATGGTGGAACATGCCTGTAACCCCAGTTATTCAGGAGGCAGAGGTAGAAGAATCACAATTTTGAGGTGAGCCTGGACAAAGTTAGTAATACCCTGTATTAAGAGCAAAATACAGCCAGGTGCCAGAGGCTCATGCCTGTAATCCTAGCTACTTGGGAGGCAGAGATCAGGATGATCACAGCTCAAAGTCAGTCTGAGCAAATAATTCACAAGACCTTATCTTGAAAATACCCAAAACAAAGTAGGGTTGGCAGAGTGGCTCAAGTGGTGGAGCAGCTGCCTAATAAGCATAAGGCCCTGAGTTCAAACCTTAGTACCACCAAAAATGTATAGATAATAGATATCACCACACAACACGCACATGCAGGCCAGTGCTGGTAGCTCACCAACTGTAATCCTACTTGGAATGCTGAGATCAGGAGGATCGAGATTTAAGACCAGAATACCAGCCTGGACAAATAGTTTGAGAGACCACCCACCCCCCCAATCTCCAAAATAACCAGAGCAAAATGGACTGGGGGTGTGGTTCAAGCAGTAGAGCGTCTACATTTACAAGCACAAACCATGATTCAAACCTCAGTCCTACCAAAAAAAACCAAAAACTGGGAGCATGGTTCAAGTGGTAGACTTCTTGCCTATCATTAGAGAGACCCTGGGTTCCATCTCCAGTAAAGAGAAAAAAAAAAAAAAAATGACTTGGGAGGTAGTGATCAGGAGGATTGTGGTTCAAGGCCAGCCCAGGCAAAAAGTTAGCAAGATCCCACCTCAGCAAATAAGCTGGGTAGGAATGTTCTTGCCTGTAATCCCCGCCACATGGAGCCATCCCACAAAAAAAAACATAGGATCCTATCTGAAATGTAACTAATAACCAACCACAATCACAAAATGGCTGGTGGGGATGCACTCAAGTGGTAGAGCCCCTGCCTAGCAAGTGCAAGGCCCAGAGTTCAAGCCCCAGTACTGCCAAAACAGCAGGTGGAGACAGGCAGTAAAGTCTCCAGACAATGTTAATCCATTAAAAGCACTCCAGAATTCAGCAGTTGGAGGTGGGGGGTTTCCTGCAGGAGGGAACAGGTCTGGGGGAAGACAGTTCCCAGTGCAGGCACCTGCCAAGCCTGGAGATGAGCCGGAATAGACCAAAGGCTCAGAGTTTCAGCCCTGAATATCCTCAACTTCTACTGCCAGGTCCTGCTTTGCCTTCCCATGGCTTCTAGAGGGCCATGTGTCCCAGGAAGGCTCCTTTCAGCAGGGATATCACAGCCCACAGGTGGGGGACTACAGAGGATACAGCTTGGGCCACCCTAATTACATACCTTAGGGGATGAGGGGTCTCACCACCTCTTCGCATTGTCTCCTTCATTCTTAGGCACTCTTTTTTTTATTTTGGTACTGGGTTTGAACTCAGAGCCTACACCTTGAACTGCTCTACCAGCCCATTTCTTGTGTTGAGTTTTTTCAAGATAGGGTCTCACGAACTTTCTCCAGTCTGGCTTGATCTCTGCCTCCTGAGTAACTAGGATTACAGGTGTCAGCCACCAGCACCTGGCCTTTTCGGTACTCTTGACAGTGAGAAAGTCCTTTGTGCCTTGGCCTAAAAGCTGCCCTCAGCCAGGCGCTGGTGACTCACGCCTGTAATCCTAGCTACTCAGGAGGCAGAGATCAGAAGATCATTTCAAAACCAGCCCAGGCAAATAGCTTGGGAGACCCTATCTCAAAAATACCTAACATAAAAAGGGCTGGTGGAGCAGCTCAAGGTGTAGGCCCTGAGTTCTTAGGCCAGGCCGCAGGGGAGGAGGGCAGGAGAGCAGTGGGGCTGGGTGTAGCTTCACAGCTTTGAACTCCAGTGTGTTCTCACCCTTCCTCAGCTGTGAGCCCCATGATGATGATGTTAGTGATAACGGGAGACCCTGTGGTGCTCTGATGGTGGGCAGGTACCATGAGGCACATTTAACTCATTTTGTCCCTGGAACAGCCAATGAGGTCTACCAGCAACAGTCTGTTTATAGATGGAGAAACAGGTAGCAAGAACCAAAGTCCCTGCCCAAGGGCACGCTGTAAGGAAGTGGTAAGGCCAGTGGCCTGGTGCTGCCACTGTTTGAAAATTAGGCAGCTCTTGGTCACATCCTTGCCTGTCATTTTTTTGCCAGGTGACCTGGGACAAGTCTCCTTACTTCCCAGATCAGAGAGGAGGGTTCAGAAGCTGCACTGGTACCCCACAGGGCCTGGTGTTTATAGAAGGGGACCCAGGAGCTGAGGAGGACTTCTGGCTGCTCCTGGTCTCCAGCACCCATGTCATTTCTTCCTCAGGACCTGTCTCTCCGAGTGACAGTGGCTGAGAGCAGCAGCGATGGTCGTGGGGACGTGGGCCATGTCATCATCGGGCCATCAGCCAGTGGCATGGGCACCACACACTGGAACCAGATGCTGGCCACACTGCGCAGGCCTGTGTCCATGTGGCACCCTGTCCGGCGAAACTAGCAGGCAGGACAGGCCAGGTGGGCAGCAGAGCCACTGGGCCTGGCGCAGATACAGCTCCATCCAATGCCCTCTCTGTCGCCCAGCTGGAGCCGTGAATGCTGGGGCTCCCCAGTAGAGTCCCCATCAGCCATCTTGGATCTTCTTTCCAGACTGCAGTAGAGGAACTGGTGTGGTTCTGCATCCAGGGACCGAGGGTTTTCTGCTGAGGACCAGCTATGGCTGGGCCAGGACCCAGGGAGGGCAGCAGACCCTGGCCACTTGTGTACCATCTCAAGATCCTCATGGAATCTGTGTCCTGGCCTGTAGAGGGACTTGGGCTCTCAGAACTGGTCAGCTCCCACCACCCCACTACTACTGGGAAGCTGGCTGCCAAGTTGGGCTACACCCTGAAAGCCAGCAAGTCTTAGGGACTGACCACTGTGCTGTGCCCTGGCAGCAGTAATATGGACCAGACACAGTCCTCAGGACACCAGAAAGTCAGGGTCCCCTGCTCCAGGTGATCTGCCCAGTGCTTAGTGACAGCCAGCCATACAGACTCGGGGAGGGATGCTGGGGAACCAGGGAAGATCCTGTAGAAAAGGAAGGAGCTGTGCTTTGAGGAACGGGGAAGGAGTGAGCGTCCCAGGTAGAGGGCACAGTGAAGCAGTGGCAGGGACATAAGCTTTCCCACCACAAACTCAATCATCAGTCCCCTGCAGTGGGGACAGGAGCCTCTCTCTGGGGAAGAGAAAAGACCAAGAGACTAGGCAGAAGCTGCAAGCCGTTCAGGTGGCTCATACCTGGAATCCTAACTATTCCAGAGGCAGAGATCAGGGGGATGGCGGTTCAAAGCCAGCCCCAGACAAATAGTTCTTGAGACCCCGTCTTGAAAATACCCAACACAAAACAGGGCTGGCAGAGTGGTTCATGTGGTAGAGCACCTGCCTTGCAAGTGTGAGTCCCTGAGTTCAATTCCCTGTACCACCAAAAAAAGAAAGAAGCTTCAGGCTCCATGGAGGCTTGAGTTTTGCTTTACGAAGTCCCCAGAGACCCTGTGCTCAGACCAAGCAAGTCAGCATATCTCCACCGGTTTCCTGGTGTCCCTCCAGGCCAGGCCCTGTTGGGAAGAGAGGTGCCTCAAGTAGGCCTGGTTCCCACCCTCAGGACACTGGGCGCCCTAGATTAAATTCCCTAAAGTGTGGCCTCAGGGATGTCTAGCCTTAGTCTGATGGCCAGGGGGAGGCCTGGAGGAGGAAAGGCACCCCAGGGGTTCCTGTCTAAGAACAAAGGAGCTAGGCTGAATGCCTCCACCTGAGTCAGTCTTTGGCTTCCAAGCCACCCCAGTTGGAGTGAAAGTGTCACACCCCTCCAGGTGTCGCAGATGCGGAGGTGGTTCCCATCCCACAAAGGCAGTCTCAGAAAAGAGCTTCACCCAGGAGGGAAGGTGCACCTGTGAGTTTAAAAGAGATGGTAGGGGTGGTACAGCAGCAGCGTCTGTTCTGCAGGGCCACCCACAGGTGAGAGGGGGGACTCAGCTGACTGTGCTGGTCCTTGGCTCTGGACTCAGGTCCAATCTTTTATCACCAGTGATATGGAGGGTGGAGTGGCTAGAACAGAGACCAGAGGGGTTACGGGACTGGAGGCCACAACCAGGACTCCTCCTAAGGTCAAGCTGCCCACCCTGTGGTCAGCACCAAGAGGTCAGCACAGGGCCAGAGGACATGTGAGCCTTTGCAGCCTGGAGGCCGCAGACTTTTTAACACAGTGGCTTTGCAGGGCAGGTCACATCCTCCCCAATTCTCTGCCCCCTTGTCCCTTCTAACTGCATGAAGTGTTGACTGTGTACCCAGGATGACCATGGTGGGGACTAGGAATGCTGACTGAGAGGATTCTAGAACCAAAATAAAGCTGGGGCAGGAAGGGGGCTTCCAGGGATTCCTGCTCGGCCCTGAGTCACCTTCATCTCTTCTCCAGGAACCAGGATCTTGGGACTCATGGGAGTTATTTCGAGCCCTCCTTCTCCACTGCTGGGGGCCCAGGAGGACCTGAAGCTCCTACCTAACTGGGGAAACCATCACAAGGCCTAATATTATCAGACAGCATGGGAAGCTCTAAAGAGGGACCACTGAGCCAGGCCTTGCAGGGAGGGTGGTGACAGGGAAATCAAGGAAGGCTTCCTGGTGGTGACGCTTAGCTGTCTTCAGGACCAAAAGGATCATGTTAGATGGGTAAGATAGGAAAAGCATTCCTGACAGAGAGAACACATATGCAAGGGCAGGAAGGGGCAAAAGTTGAGCAATTTCTCCACCTTGCTAGAGTATAGGACCAAGTGAGAAGAAGGGATCTAGAGGGGAGGTTGGAAGGGGATAAGCGCCTTGCACAGTGAGTGAGTGCTGATGCCCAACCTGGCATCCCCTTTTCACAGAGGTTCAGCCAGGCACCAGTGGCTCACGTGTGTAATCCGCTACTTGGGAGGATCAGGAGGATCACAGTTTGAGGCCACTCAAACAAATAGTTCGAGAGACTCTATCTCCACAATAACCAGAGCAGTCTGGCATTCATTGGTGGCTCACATCTATAATCCTAGCTACTCAGGAGGCAGAGATCAGGAGAATCGCAGTTCAAAGCCAACTCTGGGCGAATAGTTCATGAGACCCTATCTTGAAAAAAAAAAAAAAATCACAAAAAGGGGCTGGCAGAGTGGCTTAAAGTGTAAGAGCACCTGCCTTGTAATCAGGAGGCTCTGAGTTCAAACTCCAGTGCCACTAAAAATAAATAAATAAATAACCAGAGCAAAATAGGCTCGAGCCCTAAGTTAAAACCCCAGTCCCATCAAAAAATAAAAATAAAAACAAAAACTCAGAGAGTTAGGTAACCAGCTCAAGATCACATAGCCAGAAAATCACAGAGCTGGGATCCAAGTTCAGACTGTATGGCTCAAGAGCCCATGCTTGACCACTAAGCAATAACATTCCTTTCCCTAACCCCTCTGGATTCCTGCATGCTCTGGTTTCCCCCATCCTGCCCTTCTCCAGGAGATCACAAGCTAGGTGTGAATTCCCAGCAGCCCCCAGTAGGCCTGCCCACCGAGCTCTGTGAAGGCCAGGCTGATAAAGGAAATAGACAGACAGTAGGGTGGAGACCAGGGAAGGCTTCTGGGAGGGGGTGGAAGCCAGAGCTCTGGATTGTACACACAGAAGGGAGAGGCACTCCAAGCTGCCTGAGCAAAGCTTTCCCACGTGAGGAGACACAGCAGGGTTGAGGCGCACGGACTGGGGGATAGCTTATGGGGACTTCCAGCGTCCCAGATGAGGCAGAAGGTCCTTGTCCCACTGACTGTGGGGAACCTTGGAGGAGTTCTGAGCAGGAGCAGGTCTGAGGGAGGGTGGAAGTGACTCTAAGCTTTAGAGATGACATGTCAGCAAGCATTGTTCCTGGTTGGTAAGGGACAGGCAGTGTAGGCAGGAGGCCTCTGAGCTACCTTAAGGTTTAGGGTTCATTCGACAAGACTCAAATGGAGGTGCTTTCCTGGAGAGGAGGCTGCAAGAAGCCACTTTCCTACCTGCTCTCTCATAACCCTCTCGTCCTGTCTCCATCCCTTCACTGGTCCCTCCCGAGGCTCCCATTTCCTCTACCCTTTCCTCTCCCCTGCTCCTCTAGCCCCAGGCTTGCCTTCAGGGTCCCAGGCCCCCTCCTGGAGCCCACCCAAGAAGATGGGTGTGGAGGCTGGCATTGCCTGGGCCTGGCCTGCATGTGGAAAAGCAAGATGGGCCACTTTGGCATCCACCAAGGACAATACCTCTTAACCTCTCTTCCTCACTGCTCTGTGCCCCCCACCTGGAACACTGGTTTCACTTACCAGCCAAGGGACCTTGGGCAAATTATCTGGGGTCTGTTTCCCCATTTGTCAAAGGAGCATAAGAATTGTACATATTTTGGGCTCGCAGAGTGACTCAGGCAGTAAAAGCACCTTCCTAGCAAGCATGCAGCCCTAAATTCAAACCCCAGTACCCTCTGCCCCCCCCCAAAAAAAGGAGTGCTTCAAGAATTGCACTCTATCCAGGGCCTGTGTGCCCTGTCAAGGCATACCAAGGAACAGGACCACAACTTTGATGTTCTGTCCCCTGCAATGCACTGTCCATTCAGCCATCCACAAATACCCCACACCCTAAGTTAGGACACACCCCCCCACCCCGCAGAGCAGGCAGTCCCAGTGATGACCATGCAGAGAGCAGAGAGGCCACACGGGGATGGCAAAAAAAATCAACCCAGACAGCCTGGAACTTCTGTCCTCAGGGGAAGGTGGGAATGGGGTGTCAGAAAATGGAGCAGAGGGGCCTGGCTAGGAGGTCAGCCCTTGGAGCAGGAAGGGGCACTTTTCAGAATCCCCACTCAGGTCGTGTGTTGTATGCATTCATCCTTAAGCATTCGTTCCTTCATTCACTTGTTTCTTTTGAGACAGCCCATCTTCTCTTCCCTCCCTCCTTCCCTTCATTTTTCCTTCCCTCTCTTCCTCCCTCCCTTCCTTCTTTCCTTCTTTCATTCCTGTGTCCTTTTCCTTCCTTTCCCATGTTTGTCCAGCCAGGTTGTCCAATTGGACAGAAGATTTGGAGCCACAGCTGGCTAGGGTACAGCAATAGGTCAGCTGTGGTCCCTGCCCTTGAGGGAGTCATGTCCTGGCTGGGACTGACAGATGCTGTCTGGTCACCTGCATTCTGAAGAGGAAACAACACGCCAGGCTGATGCTAACCTGGCCTTCTGTGCTCTTCCGGGGTCTGCAGGGCAGTCATGAGCTTTGTGGGGCTCATAAAAGACTCTAGACTTGGGAATGGTGGCGCTTCTAGGGGACTGAGTCACCCACAGACCAGAAGTCAACAGCAGCCACAGTAAAAATAGCAAAGAGTGTTCTGGCCAGGCAGACTATGGCACCTGGGCCTCCTACCTACTCCAAAAATAAACTCCAGGAAATCAGTGAGGTCCAGAGCCCAGCAATGTCTGAGAATGGGGAACTTCTCTGCCAACCAGGACAGCCATGGTCCAGTGACTAGTCTGCCTCTTGTAGGAACATGAGCACAGATCAGGAGGGGGGAGGAAGCTGGCCTTCACATAGAGAGACCAAATCCTGGTTCTCCATCTTACTGATTTAAGAAAGGCTGCTGCCTCTCTCTGAGGCTGTTTCCAAATCTGTGAAATGAGAAGCAGAATTCTCTGCCCACCTCACAGACTGAGAGCTGAATTCAGTAATGCCTGTAAGGGA